GGGTAAGAGGACAACCCACCAACCCACAACTGCAGAATGGAGTCGCTAGGGCTTTGGGGCGGGGGGTGGGGGGGGAGAGTGACATGATGAGAGACACATGATTTTTCCAATTTTAGATCTTAGACCTCCCCCACGTTAATTAATGCAGCATAGAAGTATGACTAAAGTCCTAAAAGCTACAGGGGTCAAAGTTCAAAAAAAGAAGCAACAGATTCCCAGTAGTTAATCCCTAATGATGTGCACCACACCCAAACCTTTACACCATTAATAAAATCAAAAGGACAGCCATCGAAAGAACTACCTCTCTAGTAGACTTCTCATGATCACCAGTTCATTACTGCCTCGGGGAGAATGGTCACTCCCCCAGAGGTTCCTAATAGTCTTGACTAACTCTACAAAGGCAAGGAGACACACACAGCAGGGAAGTTCCCGGGTCTGGAAGGAGGCAGGATTTGAATGGCTGAAGTGTGACTTTGTTTAAGTCACTGATTCTCCCCCTCTCCTAGGGCTCAGTTCCCTCATTTAAAGGAAAAGGGCGGGGGCACACCTTGACTGACAACTCCAAGAGAAGCCTGTGGCATCGTTCCCAGACACATGGTCACTCAGCCTGGCACACACTGGGGCTCCAGGAATACAGTAGTGACAGATAGTCAGATGTCCCTTCTGGAGTCCCCACTGTCTTCCAACAGGGCAGGGAGGGAGACAGAACACTCTGCCTCTGGTTACAACAGTTAGCAGAGACACTCTGCCCCGGGGCTTCAATGCTGCCCACCCCCCCCCTACTCCCACCCCCCACCCCCGCCCAGTTTGTTTTCCAGTGACAATATTAAATTATGCTCTAGGAAAAAGAAAACCAAACACGTACTAACTGGATTTTTTTAAAAGAGCACTAGACATGTTTACATAGAAAGTGAAATTATAGCCAAATGGATACACTTTGCATATGTTCATTCCTGTCCTGAAAGACAATAAAAGGACCTATGAAGTTTATTTGATGTTTAAATTTCCTAAACGTATGTTAAAATTCTACCCACTTGAAACACTTAAAACCTCAGCTAACTTCAGGACAATTTGGATGCTGGCCTTTGAAAGCATTCCAACTTCCTCCTGTAAAATAAGTTCTGCATTGCTCAGCTTGCGTAAATTACTCATTCAGATTGTACAAAAATCAAGATAATTGCGATGATTTTAAGTTTTGGTTTTTAAGCTTTCATTTTTCAAAAGTATAACATCACCTCACAGGCAAAAGCTCTTACAGGACAAAAGACAACAGTTTTCATTTAGTTAAAGACAAAACAAGAAGAAATGTGCAGGCTGCCAAGCATGGAGACCTCCATTACCAACCCTACTAAGGTCCTCAGGCGGTTAGTCAAACCAAGAGAAGACTAACACGCACACTCCAGTCTTCTTAGAAAGCCCTGAGCTGGATTATTTCTTAACCCAGCACTATTATCTCTAATGGCCCAGTCATCTCCAGTACAATTAGATGCCCAGGGAGTCTTATTAACTCTTTCAAGCCATTCGGATACCATAATGAAGCATTAAGGACTGGAAACTAATTACAGTTGATTAAATAGTCTGGGACTTCCCAAGTGTTAATGAGCCTCACCCCCCCCCCCCCCCCAAAAAAAAAAAGACCAATTTTTTCCTTAGGGAGTACCAGGTTTATGTAGTCTTTGAAAAATTCCACAATGTCCAATACATCTACAGAATATGAAACTTGATAGATAGTAATGTTAGTTAGTGATGTAGAATACTGAGGGCAGAGAGGATAGGATAGAGAACATGGGGGAGGATTAACTTAAAGAAGAGTGTGGAAACCCACTATCTCTCACCCAAAAACTGTAACAGGAGGGGGGTCGAACACATGGGGCAACGAAAGAAGGGGGCATAGTAGGAGTTAAGGGATTAAGTGGGGACGGAGGTAGAGGGATAGGGAGGAAGGGGGTAATAAGTGCAGTAACTAAAACTAAGGGTCTACGAAAAAGCTTTAGGGAAACCCACTAGTTAGTAAGCTAATTTTAAAATCTAATTAAAAAAAAAAAAAAAAAGTTTGAATGAGGTGCCCAATGAGTGAGTGAACAATGTCGTTCCAGAAGACATGGGTTATTAAATGAAAATCTCAGTGCAAGTCACTACCCCTCTCCCCCATGAGTTACGGGGCCAGGGTGGCCCCAGGGGTCTTCAAAACAATGCAGGTTACTGCCAGGGTCCTTGGTTTCCCCCATAACTGTACAGTAAGGCTGAAGATACCACAGACTTTAGCTAAAGGACAACAATGACTATCAAAGCAACAGGGAAGCTCCCTCCCTGCTGGCTGGCTTTCACGGTGCCGGAATGTGCTGTGCAGGCTGCTGGGGGAGAAAAAGGGTCAACGATCTTACGTGTACATGCTCAATCCTGACATGATAGGCAAAATGTGACCAACGCTGCAACAGTGGGTACCAGCCGCTTTCTGATTAGATGTGAAACCTGTTCCACAGGAGGGAATGTCATACCTCATACATTTGTAAGCCGGGTCAGGAGCCTGCGACTTGAAAGGTTATAGGCTCTGAGGAACTTGCTATTGTTCTTTTGGTAAATGGTCAAGCCGTCAGACAACCTTCTAAATATGTGCATCGATACACAAAGACATGGGCTACTCTCAACCTTGGTCAAAAAAGCATCTTTCTGCATTAGACAGCAATCAACTCAGAGGCTCCTAATTGGTCAGAGACTGTGTGTGCCCAGCCCTAGACAGAACATCTTTGTCAATGATTACCTTCCTCCACCCTCCATCAAGTCTCAGGAAACATCCAGGGAGGTGGAAGCAGAAAGGACAGGAAAGCTGTGGGGAGGAGCATAGTGATGTAGTCTTCTGAACACGACACACATGCACTTACACAGCTGTGCTTACCTTCATAAGACTTGCCAGGTTAAGCCAGCCAGTCATGGCAAGGAGTACCTGAGGACCCACCTGCCCCTGAGGAGCTCCTGGCAGTGATGGCTGCTGGGGGGGGGAGGGAATTGTTCCCTCTTCCTTGAGGGAGCCATTACCCATGCTCTAGTTGACAGCCCCATAACTGCCCACATATGAGAGGTGCTAATTAGACTCCGGAGGGGCATGGTTTAAAAAAAATACAGTAAGAGGATATGAATTTGGGAGGGGGAAATGTTAAAGGAAATCTAGTGAGAGCTGGAGTGGGAATAAGAGGTAGAGAGGGGGCCTGATCATCTATACATAAAAGACATTCTCTAAGAACAAAAAAGAAAAGAAAAACAAAATGCCAAAAATACCGATGGCAATATTTAAATCACCACAAAACCACTTCCTTCTTTGTGTTAGAAATTCCAACTCTATGTGGTAATTTATATTTCAGGTCACTGTTCTACATCCTTTAAAGACGTTATGAAGAAAAGCATTTCAGACATGGGTGAGACTCTGAGAATCGATGGCAAACACAAGTTCTTATAGAATAAATTGGAAAATACGTGGTAGTAACAATGAAGATAAAAAAAATTAATGATAAAAAACAAACGTGAAGATTACAGTCTAGGAGGACACTAGAGAGAGGCCTATGGTGGCCGTGCAGCAGGTTCAGAGCAGAACCCAAGCAGAACTGATCACTTAATAGATATAATCAATTAGCTGATCACTTACTATTACACAAGGGCATTTTACGTTCCACTTAGCTTTAACTTTTAAGATTTATCCAAGAGACAGATATGGATAAATAATATTTAAAGGCTATAACGACTGCATTTTTTTTTCTGTTATCACAAAGCTTCCAGAAACATGCTAAGCATGTACAGACAAATAGTAAGGCTGTGATGGATGAGAAAGATAAAGAAAATTTAAAAACCCTAAGTTCTACACTGGGTAGTGTGAAGTCATTGCTTCAAGTCGGCGAAGTGACAAATCTTACATAGCGCTGGCATCCAAGCATAAGAGTGGCCACCCACCATCGGAGAGCAGTTGTGAGTACTTGTGAGGGGTCCTCAGGACCAGGACCCAGTGATGTCCTCTCATTGAAGGAAGACAGCAGAGATCTTAAACGGACCATTAACAGATCTGTCACCCTCCCCTGCCTCTCCCAGCCACTGTGTGTAATTCTGCCTTGTTGCCCTTGTGATCTCAGGAGGGGCTAGAGCACACAGAATGTGGAAGGTTACCTGAAGGACATCCGTCTATATGGAAGTCACCACCCATGCAGGGATGGCTTCCTGCTGCTCTGATGTCACCTATGAGCCTGCAAACAACCCTCATCCATGCTCTGAATGGCTCTCCAGTGGACTTTGGTGGAAGGTACTCAGGTTTGCTGTTGCCCTGGGAGAAGGGAGAAGATGCCTTCTGGCTCCCCCAGGTGGACTTTGGTGGAATGGACCTGGGTTTGTTGCCCTGGAATAGATATAGATGCCTGTTCACATCTCTCCAGGGAAAAAGTTCCTCCAACATAAAGACAGCTTGAGACGTGGTAAGATAATTGAGGGGGAAACATAAAATATTAAAAAAAAATAGAGAAGAATGAGGAAAGTTTTAAGTCCCTGTCTTTTTAAATGGCAAGTCAAGTCAATAAAGAGAGTACACAAATTAAGAACTATCCGTAAAAACACATCGCTTATGGAACAAAAGCAGCTACTCAAAGCTAAGAACACATGGGTAAAAAGCACCAAGGAGGAGGGAAATGGGGAGGCAAGATGGGAGGGAAGGCAGGGAAGCGGAAAGGAAAAGCAGTAAGCAGGAATGGACACAAGAAATTTCCTCATATCCCATGCAAAGTATCATTTGTCTGTCTCATTCTTTTTCTTTCTTTTTTTTTTTTTTTCTTCCTCCTCCTAGCAATATGACACAACTCATACAAAAATATTTTAGACTAACCTCTGTGGTCTACAGTAAAAAGAGTTTTAAAAATGCTGTTCAATACCTACATATATAAAGTGTGTTTCGTTTCCCTTTTCATTTCTAAGAATTCCAATGACTTGCTGATTTACTTCTGTTTTCTGGAAAGATTCAGACTTACCATGAAATTTATCAGCCTCAGGATCATTCACATTAATAGCAATTATTTTCCAATCTGTGGCATCCTGATCGATAAGTGCCAATATCCCAAGGATCTTCACATGGACCACATCTCCACGAGGAAGAACCTTTACAGAGAAAAGATGCCGTCATTTGCAAGGCTTGGGAGGGTTTAACTATAAAACCCTACTCACACAATGGAAACGTAACAGTTCTGGGAACTATAAACCATGTGAAAATGATCAGAAAGTCTGTCTTGCAGTCTCTTTCCTAGGAACAAGTATCTCAAAACTTCCTCTTCCACCCATGAAAGGGCTGCTGGCTAAATAACCAAAACAATCAATCAAAGCCTTGTGTACTTCGAGAAAAGCAGACATTAAACAGGCAGTGTAGGACCAAGACTCTGAGGGAAGTGACTGGAAGAGGAGGGGTCATGGAAACTGCCTGGGCTTTGTGCCCAGGGCAACTGCAGGGTACAGAAGGGGGAGCCAGAAGGTGTCCCCGTCCCCGGACCGCCACATCTGTTCCACGGTACGAGCGCATGTGCACGAACACACACACACACACACACACACACACACACACACACACACACACACACCAAACAAACAAACAAAGTACAGTTTAAAAGGAACAACCACTATCACCAAGGAGGACGAGGTGGCTACAATCCCTGCTTCATAGACTGGAGTCAAGATTTTACTCTGGAAACACAGTGCAGAGGAGGCTGAAAGTGTCCTCAAGAAAAGGTTACTTAAGACCCAGCAAGTGTTACATTTTTATGCCTAAAAACTATCAAACAGATTGTCTTAAGACAAGGAATGACAATGAAACAATTGTTAAAGCTAGAAAGAAACAAAACAGGTTCCTCGAGATGCTTTTATAAAAGTGAGTGTAGGGTAATTAAAAATGAGAAGAAGCTGGGCTTAGGGAAACAGTTCAGTCCCACAGCACTTGCTATGTAAGCATGAGGACCTGAGTTCGAGTCCCAGGACTCTTATCAAAAGCTGGGTGTAGGGCTTGTAACCCCAGTGGCTAAATAAGCAAGAGCCTGAGGTTGGTGAGAAACTCTGTCTCAAAAGTAGATGGCACCTGCGGAGGAATGACACCAGAGGCTGACATCTGGCAGCCACATCAAGTAACACACTCTCCCACATACATACATCTATACACAGACACAGACTGTATCAGAAGTTTCCTCTGATACTACACTGCTTGAGAAAGTGATTTCAGCGCTCTTGGGCTGCCAACACCTCAAATCTTTCTACATTCTTTTATTTTCAAAGGGTTAGTCGGCTATCAAACTGCCTTGTAAGCTTAGACTCTAAATGTGTTTCAGAAGACAAATTCCCTCGTGGTCCCAAAATGCAGCTTTACATTTTACAAAATAAGGTATGCAAAACAGAGTCATTTATGTACCCCAAAAGTGTTTAGACAAAATGATGTTAAACCAGAAAATCAAGTAAATCCATTCAAAATATTTGCAAAATGACAAGTCTTAATCGAATTGTCCACGAACTGACTGTCACACAGTCGATTAGTGTGACTGTAGGAATGACACTGAAGGCTCCTTCTTTAGAGAGGGCACACAGACAATCACATAAGGGTCTCCCGTGGCTAGTCTATTATCTATGAAACACCTGGTACTGCGTTAGGAAAAGAGCGAAAGAAAAAAAAAAAAAAAGGGTGGAGTGGGGGAGAGACAGAGAGAGAGGAAGGGAGGGAGAGAAGGAGGGAGGGAGACAGGGAGAGAAAGGGAAAGAGGGAGAGGGGAGGGAGAGACAGAGACAGAGAGACAGAGAGAGAATTAGACTCCAGCCACACGGAGGCCAGGACAGCCTTTTTGGTCTGAGGTAGAGGTAAGAGCTAGTGGCGGTTTCTTTTCTCATCTTCAGCTTGAAGTTTGAACCCAGTATCAATCATGGGTGTATATTACTCGTGTTACAAATCCCTGTTTGCATTTACTACCTTGTCTGGGATACTTAGATGTTGCAGGTGTGGACAAAAGAAAAAAAAAAAAAAAAAAATAAATAAATAAATAAATAAATAAATAAATAAAAAACAAGACACAACAGCGACCTCAAATACAAAGGCTCTACCATCGCACATCTCAACCGCTGGGTTGCAGGGCCCAACCTGCAATTTTACAGGACAGAGATGGAAGGGATACAGGCGGGCATCAGTCTTCACAAGCATTAGCCCTGGAGGCGGGGCCCCATCAAAGCCAGAGACAGCCTCCAGAATCACACCTCTGGGACTGGATCCCACTCTGGCGCTTTCCAGCCATGTGAGGTGAAAGTGAGACAATGTGAGATGCATGGGTAGCTTCGGAAAGTTTGGGCTCATATAGGGAATCATGATTTAGATCCCCCTTCCCACTCACAGTAAATAAAAATGTGAGGGAGGATTTAAAAAAAAAAAAAACAAACACAAAAAAAAAAAAAAAAACAAAAACAAAACAAAACAAAAAAAAAAAACTGGTAAGAAAACAAATAAGCAGCTCACCTTTAAGCATATCCAAAAGACAAGGATCTAAGTGATGTTTGATGTTAGTTCCTACAATTCTACAAGAAGTATGTTTCTGCCATTCTTGCTATCATTAAGGAAATACCAAAATTTCTTTTTTTCAGAAGAAGAAACCCATCTTCAGTCACAAAAGAGGAGTTTCTTCCACTCTAAGCCCAGGGAAAGCTTTGGGATGCCCAGGAGACTCTTGGCTCTAGGGATGGGTAACTGCAGATCTTAATGATATGACTTTGCCCTGTTTGATTGGCACTGCTGTTCTTTTTGGAAGAATGCAGGGCTAAGAGAACCCCAGCCTGTGAAGGAAATAAAACAGCAACCTTACCCTATAAGAGTTCAGGTGTCAATCAAATGTTGCTCCTTCCTGCCCCATCCCACCAAGCCCTTTTCCTTAGCTATAAATCACCAAGTATCTCGGGTACCTATCCTCAGGTCTATATTGTTGTTTCCCAGTCCCTAAGTCCAAAAGGAAGATGTAGAGGCTGATACTTGTGAAAGAAGGCGGTGCTATTCACAGCTTTGGGTGTGCCTGCTCTCAGCCCTGAAGCACTTCATAGACACAGCAGCTGGCAGCTAAAGCTAATACAGGCTGGAGTCATGGTGTTCACTTCGAAAGAGGATGAGGACAGAGGAAACCTGGGGGACAGACACACAGACAAGGGCCCAGGACACTGTCAGGAGAAGTAATTAGAGTATTAACCCTTGAGGACAAGGCTTCAGGACGGCATGGTACACAAGACCAAAGGAACTGTAAGGTCTTCATAAAACATCCTGAGTTTGAAGCTATGTACACGTACCAATTAAAAGCTGGTCATGTTGGGTAACTCTCAACCAAGGCAGTTTTAACCTCTAGGAGACCCTGGCTGCCGGAGACACCTTTTGGTTTAATAGTATCTCATGGAAGAGGACGGGGATGTCTGAGAGACACACTGCCCTGACAAAGCTTGAGCCATCTCAAACGTCAGCTGCGCTACAGAAGAGGACAGCACACAAGTTCTTGAGAACTTCCACTCTCAATTATTTTGTTTTCTTACTCATAAAACTGATTTCCCAGCAATATAGCAACCAGTGAGTTTATTTTGTAGACTTTGAGGCTAGCAGGAAGCAAGTTTCAGGTGACTGTCAAGTTTCATCAGATGAACCAGCTTTTGATCTCAGAAGAACACAGAGAGGGAGCCTTGCTTCAAACAAACTGGACTGCTCTTCCGAGGAATTGACCGAATGCAACCTACGTTACCACTTCCATGGGAGCAACTCAATCCAGTTTGTAAACTAGGTTGAGATGCTGAAGCTAGGGTGTTTGTGCCTAGGTTTCAGGGAAATCCAGACAGAGGCTTTTCTAGCTGCTGTGGGGACATTTCCAAAGGCAGGAATGTCAGTCGTAAATGCTGGGTTGAATTTGTCCTCCACAACCCCGAGAGATGACATTAGGCAAGTTACTTCTTACAGTGTTTTAGGGCTTAGTGTCTCAGTAAAGTGAAGATGGTGTCTCAGTTCCCTATACTGTTGAAGAGACAAGGGAAAATAGATGTATAAACTCAAAGCCAAGAGATCTTCTACAGAGAGCATTGTTCCCCCTCTGGGACCTATTTATTATTAAAATACACCTTCCCAGTGACAATGGTCAGGGACCTGGAATAAGGGGATGTAAGAGGGGCCTATAAACACAGGCTCCATGCTGACTCAGGTCTGAGGGAGGCAAACTTCAACCATGGACAGTTAACACAGAAAATAACGGGAAGCAGTGTTTAAAGCATATTAACTTGTGAACTCGGTTTTCTACTGTTGTGTAGTAAGTTATTGCAACTTAATGGCTTAAACAATGTAAGTTTTCATGGACCAAGAAGAACCCATGCCAGGGATGGGCGGATTTTCTGCCTAGGGTTTAAACAGTAGTTGGGCCTATAACATTGCAAGTTCTAGAATAGACTAGCAAAATATAACAATAATTAGTTAACATACTCCAGTAATTATACATTAACAAATCACATATTAACATTACTAAATTTTATGGTGTATATTCTACAACTTGGAAACCTCTATTGAGGTTTCTTAGCTATTCTTGGCTTACAGATAAATGTGACTGTGTCATGTCAATGTATAAGTTACAAATGTTGCTAACATTTCTTCCAGTCACAACTCACTAATTATGTGGTCAGTGACACAGTACACGGGCCTTTGTTTAAGCTTCTTATTCAACCAGGTTTAAACTGACTAAATATGAATGGACTACCCCCTAACAGTTATACCCCAAAAACAAGAGGATTTTTTCTCATGTCAGAAGCACACAATTGTTCCAGCAATGAAAAGTCACTTAACTTAGCCATCTTTACTTGTTATGAAATAAGATATGGGCTGGAAACCAAAGAGCCTAGCATGGAATCTAGGCAGAGGAGGTATTCATTAGGATATTTTATTCCTTTCATTCTTGTAGCCTGTTTAATTTTATAAACATCATTTACACCTCTTACAAGAATATACTAAAAAAAATAAGTTCAGAAAAACTACAACTTAAATTTGAAGTTAAGTCATAATTTGTTCGTACTTCTGTTGAAGACATGTGCCAGGCAAGAGTAACAGTCACATACACATGAATTCTAACAATTCTGAGCAGGAAATGAGAATTACCACTAGGGTGAGGATCCCTCAGCTCACAAAAGGAGGAAGAATGAGGAGGAAGATGAGAAGAGGGGAAGGTGAGAAATGACAAGAGGGAGAGAATGGGGGAGAAGAGCCGAGAGGGAGAGGGTGAGGAGAACGCTGAAGGGAGAAAAACAGAACGAAAGTAAAAAAAAAAAAAAAAAAACCAGGAAGTAAAAAGAAACAAATGGCAGGAAATACACAGATGGAGTGTCTGCCCCATCTGGTCCCATAGCCGTTTGGCCCCAAATAAACACACAGGGTCTTATACTAATTATAAACTGTTTGGCCAATGGCTTAGGCTTCTTACTGGCTAGTTCTCTCTTAATTATTAACCCAATGCTATTAATCTATGTATTTCTACATAGCCTTATCTTACTGGAGAATGCCGGGCATCCTATACTCCAGGTAGCTACTTGGTGTCTCTCTGGCAGCTCCTCTCTGCCCTCCTCTTCCCAGCATTCTCCTAGTCTGGTAGCACACCTATACTTCCTGCCTGGCTACTGGCCAATCACATTCATTCATCAGCCAATAATAAGAGAAGCATATTCACAGCACACAGAACATCCCCCATCAGAAACATTAAGAGGGGATGAAGAGGGAATCAGAATGATGAAGAACATTAAAAACAAGAGGAGAGAAACAACAAAAAATAGTAAAGAGAGATAACTATTACCTGAAGATGCTAACATAAGTTTCCAACGACTGATTCCAACTAAGTCAGAAGAACGTAATAACTTGGCCAGGAAAGGAGGTAGGAGCCAGGTACCAAAGGAAGCATGACAGCAGATTTTGTGACTTAGCAAGGAAACTGGTTAGCACAAGGAATACATCAACTGAGACATTAACAGTGAACTAGACGAAACTACTGGCAGCAAGAAGGAAAAAATTAGTTTTGAAAGCTCTTTGGACACAAAATCAATATTGCATCATTAGCTGGGTGAAGAGAAGCAAGCCATCAAGATGATCCCGCTGTTCCCGGTGGAGGAGCATGGAAATGTGAGGGGAAGGGGCCAAGCTGTCTTCAGTAGTATTCTCTGTTTGCTTACTGTATTTTCTGTCGCTCTCCTCGCCCCCACGCCCCATGGAAAGTAATGAGAGCTATAAATTAGAAAAAGGAAAAAGTGAACGTAGCTTGGACCGTGAACTCGAGAGGCCCAAGAGACATCGGAGTACAGCTAATACGCAGCTGAATGCAAGGCTATGAGCTGATGTTGTGTACTATAAGAGCAAAGCCAGGGACACCTAGGGGAAGAGCACAGGAGCACAGGAACTAACAGGGGCCCCTCCTCCCCGCCTCCCCAGCCCTACGGGGCAGGCAGGAGGAAGTGTGCCTGAGAATGAACTCATGTGCAAGCCAGAAAGCTTGCACAGAAAGCCAAGTACTGTGATATAATAGAAGCCAAGGGGACAGCTGACTGCTTCAAGGAGGAAGAGGAAATGGCAGCTAGAGAGCGCTACAGGAAATCCATACTCTACGGCAGCTCCGGGGAACCCTACTGATGGCAGTTTGATGGAAATGATGGTGGACAGGAGGAAGAACCACCTTCGCAATGGAGTGACAACTACGAGAGAAGGAGATGGAGATGGATCCTGAAGGCTCTTCTTCCAGGGCTCTGTGAAAGGGGCCGTCGGAGAGGGTGCCTGTGATAGGAAGCCAGAGATGAATGAGGGGCTGTTGACCCTGGAGAGAAGGGAGGAGAAGAAAACACGCCCTGCAGGCGGGAAGTGTGAAATCTAGAGCAGCTATGGGGGTGGCACGGACCGCCTTACACAGTCCTGAGGGGAATGAAGACGGAGCTCGCCCCTGCTGATGTCTACGAGCGCTTTGACTCACAGACTAGGGAACAGCGCAGGACGGCAATGTGCGCTAGTGTGAATGCAGTAGAGACGGGAACCGAGCAGACCGAAGAGCTACTGAGAGGAACCAGCACACAGACTCATTTCACAGGACCTTGTTTCGCACCACAGGACTTGGCAGCCTGGAAGCAGATATGGAAAGAAAACGGGGGAGGGGTTTTGCTTTTTCATGTGTATGTGTGTGCATCTGTAGACACATGTGCAAGTGCAGACATACATGCCTGTGGTCAGAGGATAATCTCCAGGGTCATTCCTTAGGCTACCTGGAACTTCGCCAAACAGACCTAGCTAGCTGGCCAGCAAGGTCCAGGCACCTGCATGTCCTTTCCTGTCCAGGAATGGCATTACAGGTGTGTCACCGTGCTTGGCTTCCCCCTGGGGTCTGGGGATCTGAATGAACACTCTCTAGTCATGCATTTTACCCCGGGAGCCGCTTCCCCAGCTCGGGCAGTTGGTTCCCATCAGTACTGAACTCTCTGACTAGACAATGACACGGAAGCTGAAGTCAGAGCTTGACAAACTCCCAATAAATGTCAGAAGCAAACCCTGAAGGCCTTCCAGTCCCTGTTACAAGACCTCCTCAGCTCTGCTGCTCTGACATAAGAGCAGCGCTAGACAAGGCACACAGGAAGGCAGCTGTGTCACAGACGGAATCAGAACCAGATGTCGGCTGGCTTTCACCTGCCCTGCGTGGCTCACCAAGGCGGGACCTGGGAAAAAGCAGTGAGGGTATAGGAAGAGTCTCAACATCAGGGGAACGAGCACATTCAGACTCCGAGTAGAAGAGCTAGAGGCCAAAAGGAAGTTTTATGACGAGAATAAAGCAAGCACACGTGAGGACTAAGGCAGTCTGTAGGACAAACCTTTGAGCCTATTTCACAAACGTCAATGGGATCGTTGTCTCCACAGCAGTTTGTGGTCTTATCTTTCTGATAAGGGTCTTCCCAGGTCTAAAAAACAGAACAAAACAAAAAACAATCAAAACTGAGGCAGAAATGTAGGGTAACACTCACTGTGGGATATATATGCTAACCTTTCCAATGACCGTGACGTTTTATAACTAGCCATGACTCAAAGGGAAAATGAGCCGAGGTTACCCACGCAGGCTCCGTGCTAACAGCAGTCCAAGATACACCCTCAGGCATCATAATCATCAACAGGTTTACAGCCCTTCTACTCTCTGTCTCTAATCTGTGTCATCACATCTGAAAGTGGGTAGCATTTTCAGAATATTCATCTTCCAAGCCTAGTCAGCGGCTAAATTCACACTCACAAACCTCAGGGTTTCGCTGTTTCTCTCTTTCTGCCGACACGACGGTCTCAGCCATGGCCCTGTCACTCACTGCTACACCTGACGTGGTGGCAGTCTCCCAGCCTCGCTTTCCACATCTGAAATGAACTTCCTATTGGTTAAGGGTCTCCTAAGCTAGAAACAGCTTTCCCTCCAGAAGGCATGGTTTACTCCAGTGCGGAAAAACCAACCCATCTCTGTCCATTTTCCTCCCTTAAAAACGTCTGAACCTTTGTCATTAAATTTCAGGCTCCTGACAAAAATCATGCAAATAAGTCAGCTCTTGGGTCTACTGGGAAGATGATAACCTATTGGCTATAAATTATATGCCACAGTTTTGGAGATGAATAATGTAATGGGCATTTGCTGTCAATTTAAAATCTCTCCCAGGCACCATCTCTTCCCAGAAGCTTGACTCTGAATCAAACTATAGAAATGGCCTAAAATGAATTGTCTTAAATTGGCATTAGAAGGGATGAGAAACTTCCATCTCAAGATTCAGCCACTGACATCCCGGCATTTACATTATCCAAGTTTACTTTCTCTATTTTATGAAGGTAACTAAAACTGCACTTATTTACAAGTAACCCCAGAAAAAAAAAAAAAAAAAAAAAAAAACAGTATTTTCCTTCTAACCTTAACTATAATACATCTACTGACCCATCTTTACTTTTAAAAACAAAACAAATAACAAAACACAACAACAAAAAATCAGGCCCAGCAAGTATGTCCCACTACTAAACCTACTAAAACCAAAAAACCTAGAATAACAATCAATATAACCTTATGTACCGGCCATAGATGAGAGATACTGTCTAACACACACACACACACACACACACACACACACCTTGTGAGGAATAATTATCCATCCCATAATACAAATAAACTGAAATGGTTTACAGGGGTCAAAGCTCACCGAATCTCTAAGTAGCAGAGTCAGGGTTAGAATCCATGGTGTGAATCAGAAGTTACGATGCTCACATTTCAGCAAGAACAGCAAGTTCCGCCTCCCAGTTCCCTTCTTGACATGTTCTTCCTTACTCTGACAAATGTCTGTGCTTCCTGCAGTAGCTCCGTTCTCTCCTAGTCCTCCCATCGCTTCTGCATCTTTCCTATTGCTGCTTACCAGGCATTTGGATCCACGCACAAGGCTGGATACTGAGTATCCATCAATAGGGCAGGCTCTCTCTGTTGCACAAATTCTCAGAGTCAGCTATCAGGGGGTGAAAGCTGAAGGATCAGAGAAGCAGAGCCACCAACCACTGGAGAGTCCTTACCTCTAGCAATGCTCAGACAAAATCCTGTCCTCAGACTGCCTGCCCTGCCTTATATCCCTCTCTCCATCCAACCATATCCCTTCCTGTCTCCACTTCCTTAGCTGGGATAAAAGATGTGTGAGTCCCAAGTATGAGATTAACGGTGTGAGCCACCACCACTTGGCTCTGTTTCTTTTTTTAGACTAGATCAATTTCATGTAGCCTAGGGTGGCCTTGAACTCACAGAGATCATCTACCTTTTTCTCCCAAGTGCTGGGATTAAAAATGGGTGCCACCACTGCCTGGCCCCTATGGCTAACTAGTGTGGCTAGCTCTGCGCTCTGATCTTCAGGCAAGCTTTATTTGTTAGATCATCAACAAAATATCCCAATAAGGCTCAGTAAGCGAGAGAGTGCTGTGTTAATAAGTGGTGTAACATTTGTCTCCATGTGCAGAGGAACCAACACAGAACCGAACTGAAATCACTGATCTAGACCATAAAGTCAAAAATACCCATGAGTTAGTTTCCTCTTTCCTAAGGCATGAACTCCATTTCCATGGATTGAACAGGAAGTCATGCTGGCCAAAAGAAGACAGCTACATACCACAACAGCTCTGATTAAACACCCAGACCTCAGTTTCTTCAACTATATAAAGAATGACACGAGTAAGGTAACGTTCGGATACTTGTCATCCGGAGTCCTGATCGTTAGTGTCTACTCATAATCTCCATGCATACCACCAGTGAATAGGAAGCGCACAGATTGATGGGATGACCTAGCCTATAGAGAGCAACATTAATTAATTAAGCATAATTAGTTAAGAAACTCTTTGCTAATGTTGTCACCTTGGTTGTGAGCTGAGCCTCTAACAGCTGCCCATCTCTACAGCCCTTGTCTCTTATTTTGAGGCAAAGGTGTCTTCTCATAACATGCACGCAATAAGGCTTTGGGGAATTTTTTTTCCTTTTTTTAGATTTATTTGTTTCATGTGTATGAATGCTTGTATGCACGTATACATATACACCACACTTCTGCCTGGTGGCTGTGGAGGCCGGAACAGGGCACTGAATCCCTTAGAACTGGAGTTACAGATGACTATGGCCATCGTGTGCATGCTGGGAAGGGAACCTGGGTCACCTGCAAGAGCACTAGTGTTCCTAATCACTGGACTATCTCTCTAGCCCCTTGGAGAATTGTTCTGTTTGTTGATTGGCTGACTGAACTCGCCTCACTACTTTCATTATTATCTATCAACTTAGTTTCTAATGTTGAGTAATTAAAAATATAATGAAATATTCTTAAGCCATTCAATGCTGTTAATATTAGGGTCGTTTCTTCACAATCTTCCATATCAGCAGACACAACACACACACATTTCTGCCTTTAGTATTTCACATCTTCAGGCTTTAGTTGTGTTCCAAAATTTGTACATTAAGTAGTGTCACTTTTAACATTTAACAGATGAGGAAACTGAACAATGTAAAACTTTGAGACTGCCCTCTAGTGGAAGTTTAGGTGCATAACAGGGCAGAGAAAAGGAAAAGGCTCAGACCGGTGAAGTATAAAGAGGGGAACATTGGAACTCTTGAACTAAGTAAGAAAAAAAGGCAAACAGGACTAAGTGAGCTAAAGACATAAACAGATGATTAGAGAAAAAATAAATATGGGTGATTTACACATTTAAGAAAAGTTGTTAATCTGAGAACCACAAAGTAAAAGTACGTTTCAACACTATTTCACAGAATTCAGAGATTTGATAACCCAAAATAGTAGCTAGGCTATTGCTCACCTGGAACCCTATATAATGTTCGTAAGAGTATAAATTGTTACAACTTATTATATGACTAATCTGAGAATATTTGGTAGAGCAGAATGGGCATATAACTCACAATTTGATTCACAAATGCCTCTCTAGTATAGTGGTTCTCAACCTTCCTGATGGTAAGACTCTTTAATGTAGTACCTCACATTGTGGTGACCCCCAACCATAACATAATTTTGCTACTGTTATGAATCATAATGTAAATACCTGTTTTCAGATGGTCTTAGGCGACCCCTGTGAAAGGGTCATTTGACCATCAAAGGAGTTGCAACCCACAAGTTGGGAACTATGGATCTAGTACATAATCTAAAAATAAAAAAATCTTAGCATGAGACCAAGAAAAGGATAACAGAAAGCCACAAGCAACATATTAAGAAATAATTATAAATCTACAAATATGAAATCATAATACATATTGACATAGCCTGAAATAAATCCTGGCTTTGAACAGGAATTGGAGATCATTACTTTACAATCTCTATCAACCAATAAATATCCTTTTATCACTATGTTCTCTGAAAAACATTGAAAACAAAAAGAAACAGCTGTCCACACAGGTGGGTTTTGGCAAGTTCTTGTTGATCGTCTACGGTTCTTAGCTCCAAATTAGAGCTAGTGAGAGCTACTCATCTCAACTGAGATCATACTGGATCAACAGTCTATCGCCTTTATCATCGTCAGTAGCATCAGCGGCAACAGCCGAATTGCTGAGCTAACATTGTTAAGAACCATCTACAGAGCTCACCCTAGACCACCCCCTTCATTACAATAGCCTTTCCAGGTAGGAGTCAAGATCATACAAATGAATATAAACAAGCCTAGAGAGATCTGATCTCTTTTCTCAGGCTCTAAATATAACAAACACCACCATTTACTTAATGTCTGTGGTCAATGACTCAAATTTGTAAGGGAGTTTAAAATAATGAACATGTCAATACTGTATTCAGACTGAAGGCTGAATTTTAAAGTGAGACTCTTTTCGTATTATCTATGCAAGTGTTCTAAATATGTACTTAGAGAAAGGGATTACTGGAATGACCCTGGTAGATGTGGGTAAACGTAAATGTAAGTGTGGAAGATGACTTTTATTCAAGTCCGAGTCAAAGTCGGAGGAAAACACTTCATGGGAGACCATAGAGAGCTAGAGGTCTAAGATGATGATGTCATATTGATGAGTCACAACCTCACTGATGATAACATTTCTACTTAGTGTTCTGCTTAAATGTCCTTCTAAGCAGTTGGCTTGGTAACTGTTCTTAACAAATGTTCTGCTCAACCAAGACAAAATGTAGGTGACCAGATGAACTTAATATCCACATGTGCTGGACTGGTTGGTATTCTGTGTGTCCATTTGACACAGGCTAGACTCATTAGAGAGGAAGGAGGCTCCGTTGAGGAAATGGCTCCATGAGATGCAGCTGTAAGGCATTTTCTCCAATAGTGATCAATGGGGGAGGGCCCAGCCCAGTGTGGGCTAGCAGTGCAGTCCTTAGTTTTATATGAAAGCAGGCTGAATTAAGGGCCAGGGTGTGGTGTCATCCAGGCTTGGGCTGCTGCCACGGGCCATGTCCCTGCTGCAGCCATAGTCTGCGTTGATGTCTGTGACTCCAGTTACCACTGAAAGCGGTGAGGATAGAGTCACACAAAGTTGGCTCGGCCCCTCACTGGCTGCATGCAGCACTTGGGAGAACAGGCCACAGGCCCTGCACCTCACCAGAGTAGCCCAGTAGGGCTGACCCTATTGATGGGGTGTGGGGGGGTGTGATATGCAAGAGGTCTAGATGTGGGTGAGGGAGAGAACACCTCCCCCTTCCTCACACCCCCTCACCGCCTATGTGGGGGGGGGGAGCAGAACCTGCACCTCACCCAGGCAGCAAAGTCGAGCTGATCCTGGTGGTGGGCGGGCAGCTGAGCCAGCCCTGAGGGCATGAGAGTAGGAGACCACAGACAAACAGACAGACAGACAGATAGACAGAAAGACACATAACACACCTCCATATGCTCCCTGCAATGATTGGGAAAGTGGGCCCTGCACCTTGTCTGGGCTAAACAGCAGAGCTGGCCCTGGCGAGGGGAGATGAGATGAACCCAGGTGCGTGAGAGCAGAACTGCCCCCACCCCCACCCCCTCCCCCACCCTCACCCGCCGATCCTTGCTATCTGCTGCACTGGGTGAGTTCACCCAGGTGAGGGAAAGCTGGTGGGCTGACCAACCCAACTACCACCCAGGCCCAGAGTCAGGGCTACGAGTTGGCTCACCCCAACATCCACCTGACCTTTGAACTGTAGGAGCATGTGAGGGGGCCGGACCCGAAGACCCAGACCTGCAGGAATTCCATGGCACAGACAACAGGGATAGCTAAAAGAGGTCTCAGAGAAGACCCATTACCAATAGCACAGCTGAAGTGAGAGGCCTCAGGCCAGACCAAGACTCAGCAGCACACGAAAGGGTTTGCTGCATGACTCACTACACCCACCGCAGCTTCCACACTGAGAACGTTTGTTTTGTTTTCTGGGGGAGGTTGCAAGCACAGAGGGTTGATGCAAGGGGACAAGGGGGACAAGCGGGGCAGGGATGGCTAATGTGAAATACACAGAATCAATAAAAATATTTTCAAAAGAAAGGAAGTGCGTTGAGCAAGCCAGGGGAAGCAAGCCAGTAAGCAGCATCCCTCCTCCCTCCATGGCTTCTGCATCAGCTCCTGCCTCCAGGCTCCCGCCCAGTTGTGACTTCCTGCCTTGACTTCCTTCAATAGCAAACAGCAACACAGAAGTGTAAGTCAAATGAACCCTTCTCTCCCCAGCTTGCATTTTAGTCTTGGTGTTTTATCACAGCAAGGAAATACTAAAACATGTACCATGAGGCAAACACCCCCGCAATGACATCACTAACTTATTCACCCCAAAACGTTTACTGTTGTACACAGTGCTACATTCCTGTAATCCTAGGACTTGGGCAGACTGAGGAAGGTATTTTCCGTGAGCCTCATGAAAAGAATGCAAAATTACTGATCACCAATTCAGGGTATCAAGAATTAAACTGGTCCACTGAAATATAACCACCAATAAAACAGAATTCCTGAGCTAATGAAGTCTGCATTCTACCTTCAAGAAACTGACAGTAAACAAGATAACTTACAGTCAGTTATAATTTGGTGGGCATTTAGAACAGGAGGGAGTAACTCGTGTGAACAGTAAAGTTCATGAGGCAGGGTGAAAGATTTACAGCTTGAGAGACATCACAAAGGCTTGGACTAGAGCAAACATTCCAGTTAGTGAGCTGGGCGTGCTGGAAAAGGAGTCAGCTGAAGGGAGGGCTGGGAATAAAGAAGAGAGAGGAGAAGGAAGGAGGACACCGAGGAAAGATGGATACAGCATCACAAAGGGACCAGTAATTAATTGGTTTTCCCTCTAAAAGCTGTCTGATCAATAACCAGCTTTAAAAAAAAAAAAAATCGCATGAAGTTATTTTTATGTGGGAGATAACAAATATATGCAATCTTTAGTGAAGCTGTATATAATGAAGCACACACACACACACACACACACACACACACACACACACTACACTGTTGTGTTTACTGTCTGACTTTCTGTCTGGAATAAAAGTTCTTGGGGGATTCTTATCACCTTTACCCCTGTCCTCATAGCAAGAACGGTCCCTGGAAAATAGGCACCAGTGACTGTGTGACGAGTGAAGAGGGACTGTGGGGGCCAGAGATCGGGGACACCAGAGGACCCACAGGGACAGAAGTGGGGAAGGAGGGACCTTCCAGTGAGTCTTAGAGTCACATGGCAAGGGGCAGGCTAAGAGCTTCAGCCTTTAGTCTCCTACCGATACAAAACCACTCAAAGGTTCTTGTATGAGGAAACATTACCAGACTTTGTTGTCATTGGACTGGCTGTCCTACAACTCTGATTGTAGATCAGGCTAGCCTCAAACTGACAGAGATCCCCCTGCCTCTGCCTCCCAAGTGCTAGCCAGATCTTGATTTCTAAAACAGCATTTTAGATGCTGATTGGAGTATGCAAATTAGGCAAGGGAGAGTGCACAGTACACAGTAAATTAGGGGCAGGCTCCAGTTTAATTCAGTTGAATTAAGAAAGGACACGCCTTTAATCCCAGAATTGGGAGGCAGAGGTAGGTGGATCTCTGAGTGTAAGGCCAGTCTGGTCTACAGAGTGAGTTTCAGGCCAGCCCGAGCTATAGAGAAAAACCCTGTCTCAAAAATACCCCTCCACACACAAAAAGAATGAAAGAATGAACAACTGTACCTCACAGACTAGACCCGGGCAGGTAAGAACACCCTGAAAGTTCACACACACACACACAGAGCAGCACAGAAGGTCCTCTCGGCTTCAGTCATCACCCCTTCTCATTAGCAGACTTGCATTTGGTTCCTTTGTTAATTCTAGCAGGGTGGGTGGGGTGTGGAGTTGAGACCAGGCCTAATTATATATAACCTAGGCAGGCTTCAAACTGGCAATAACCCTCTTGCCTCAGCCTCAGAAATACTGAAGTTGCAGGTGTGGGCTGCCATGCCCAGATTTGCTTCATTGTTATTCTTAACAAAATAAATAGAATCAGTACCAGTCAGTAGAGCCAACTGTGCCACATTGTAACCAGTGACTTAGCTGTCAATTGCTCTAATCCTGTGGCTCTCAACCTGTGGATTGTGCACCCCCTTGCCAAGCTTCCTATCTCCAAAAGTATTTGTATTAGGCTTCACAACAGTAGCAAAATTACAGTTACAAAGTAGCGACGAAAATAATGTTATGGTTGGGGGGGAGGGCGAATCACCACAACATGAAGAACTGTGTTAAAGGGTGGAAGCGTTAGGAAGGCTGAGGACCGCTGTACCAAGCACTAATCGTTAAGATAAAAATAACTGCTACTGAAAACGGGTGCTGTCCATCACACCCTAGTCTAATGAAACTCCCCAGGCAGCCCCTCAGCACAGCCACGCGCAGTACATGTCCGTGTCCTCTACAGATGAAGAGAGGCAGGCCATGTCAAGGTCACAGTGCTGATGTGACAGCCAGGCTCTCGAGCCTACCCACTCGGTCTCCCGTTACTCTGCCCGACCTCATGCCTACTCCCATCTTTTCATACCCTTGCCTCTAGCAAATCGCCCTTAAGAAGCAGCTCAAGAAATGAACACTAGTTTGTTCCCGAACTGCTCAACTTGGCCTGTCTCTGCTTTTGCCCCCAATAGGTAGCTTCTTTGGCCTTCCTTTCACCCACATCCTCCTCTTCCACAATCCCCTAAGCTCCATGGACCTGTGTTTTTTAACCTTTCCCTGTTAGGTTCCACAGAATCTTCTCTGTAGAGACCTAAGAAGTGAAGACAACTGCCCTCACGACTTGAGCGTACACTCTCATTTCTAGCCATCATTTCAAGAGTACCAGAGTGCATCCAAGTGGGTAGTCCGGCTACATCAGAGGGAAACCGGCTCTACAAAGGACAATTTTCCGTTCTTTTCATGTGAGTGTTTATCTAATGGGACACAGTCCCCCGTGTAAGTTTTCATGTAATTGAAAATTAGTACATAAAATTACAAACATCAAATTTCCACACAGCTCATAGGGCTTACGATCATAAAGAAAAACCGGTTCTCTGTTTCCAAAACCCAGACTTTGGAGCTGATATACTGAGTCTTGCTCACTGAATAATCAGGAAGAGTTGCTACTTCAGAGGGTGAGGAAATTGGGAGGTCAGTAAAAGGGGTCAAGAGTGGCAACATGGCCCACATCGGAACGAGGACTTGCCATCACTCACGCCTTGACTTCCTCGTTTCCCAGTCACAATTCCAGATTTACAACGGTGGGTTCTGTAAGTAATGTAACTCAATTCACCTGTTAGATTTATCAAAAATAAAATGCATCCAGTCGTGTAGAAAGGTATATAAGAGCATATGAAAGGAATGGCTAGATAAAATTTGCTCAGAACTGTTCATTGACAACAGCTAAGCCTACAAAAAAGAGATGTGCTTAAATGTCAACTGTCAATCTTCTACATGCCAGACTCCAAGAACCTGAGGGATGACTATATATGGTTTGAAGTAGTTTACTGGTACAATTGAATGCCAAGTTAAAAACTTTTAAGTCACAAATCTCTGAAACTGGTATGCTCTAGGAACCAATCTAAATTCAGGGAGCAGACAGGACTTATGGGGATTTCTTTAGAAGGCATAAAAGTTTACCATTGTAACAGGGATGTTACCTGAGGGAGGGCCCCGTAATTCCATATATAGCCCTTGTGAGGGAAGATATTTGGTACATAGCGTAGCTGTCCATTCTTTACATCTTGTTTAATGGGATTCAGTGGCTCCTCAGTGGCAATCTAGGCAGATCACAAGGGAAGGCAGGGAGAGAGTGAAATGGTTAGCCCTGCACACAATGAACAGATTTTAAATCCACCATAGCACGACCAAATATTCACATCCCAACTTAATAATCAAAGGTGCTTTAGGGTAAATTACATCAATTCTTATCAGCAGTTAACATGTACCATATAAGAAAAACCACCTGAAAAGAAGACACTCGATTACATAGTTAGGCTCAAAGTTTTTGTACCCTGCATTATCTCTAACAAGAAACAGTAAGATGAGTGGAAAGACAGGAGGGTAAAAGTTAATCTATATTTTTGTTGTTGTTGCTAATCGGCTTTTACTGCCGATAGTCTTAGGCTACTATAGCTAACTCAAAGGTGTTTAACTAGACAGTGAGCATCTAGAGAGATGGCCCCACGGTTAAGGGTGCTTGCTCTGCAATCATATGAACCAACCCATGTAACAAGCCAGGTATCTGCAAACACTGAGAGCCCAGGTCTGGGTGTGGTGAGACAGGAGGAGACAGGAGGAACACTGGGTTTGCTGACTACCAGTGCAGAGGAGACACAAGCTTTAGGTTCTGAGTAGGACACAGCCTTGGCAGAACAAGTAGAGAACGATGGAGGAGTACACCCAACACAATCTCTGGCCTCTGTAGCCCCTGTACACAGCACCCGAGGACGCACACATGCAAACAAGACAGAAAGCTTTTAGGATACATCACACACACGAGTAAAGGATTTCGGTCTTGCCATTGTGATTCAGCATAATGTTGGAAGTCCTTGCCAGAGTAGTGAGGCAAGGCATCCAAACATGAAAAGAAGGACTAAAGTCATCGCTGCTTACTGACAATACAATGCAAATATATATGTAGAAAGCACATAAGGTTACACACACACACACACACACCAGTGCGGAAGGAGAGAGAGAGAGAGATTACCAAATGGATGTAGTGAATTTGCAAGATATAAAACCAACACACAAACCCCACAGGATTTCTGTATACTACCAATGAACTGCTCAAAGCAGGAATCCAGAGACTATCCTATTTGCATCAAAACAACAATACAACTCAGAGCACTTGGGGATAAATTTAATGGAGGAAAAGAAAGATGTGTTCCTGCTGAAAACTAAGTTGATGATGAAAAACATCAAAGGATACACAAACAATGGGAAAGACGTCCAGTGTTGGATTGAAGGAGCATAATTCAGGGTCATTGCAATTCACAGCGAAGTTCCAAAGTCATTTAAAAAGAACAGAAATAGAAAGAACCAACCTTGAAGTTTCCATGGAAACATACACACACACACACACACACACACACACACCCTAAAAAGCTACAGCAAGTATGAGCAAAAAAGAAAAAGCCTAACCACACTACAAAGCCACAGTAATAAAGTCGGTAGAATCTGCAGAAGTCAAATTCAGAAACAGACAGGTGAGACCGAATACAAATGGGTTTCAGCAGAGGTGCTGGCAACACAGGACAGGAAAAGCACACTCTCCTAAAGAAACTGCACTGGGGAAAACAGCATAAGCATGTGTGGCAAGGACAGCTGAAAATGGATTCTTTAAATATAAGGCAGAGGCTGTAAAATGAGAAAACAGGAGGGAAGGACAAACTGGTATACACAAAAACTTTGGGGATTGGACCACAAAACCACAAGCAATAAAAGCAAAAACAGACAAACCAAATTACATCAAATTTAAAAGCTTCTGCGTGGAAAGGGAAACAACCAACTGAATAAAGAAAGGCGCCTACTACTGTAGAATATTAAGATATACTACATTCGTTTCAGCTGTGGAATATTTGTTTAATGACGCAATGATGCGCTGCACTCTTTAATGTTGTATTTGCTTAACTCTGTGAAGCTGCGATGCTTTGCCTGTCTAAAACACCTGATGGGTCTAATGAAGAGCTGAACGGCCAGTATCTAGGCAGGAGAGGGATGGGTGGGGCTGCCAGCAGAGAGAATAAATAGGAGAAAAACAGAAGAGGGAGGAGTGAGGTGGACCTCGGGGCAGCCACCCAGCTACCCAGCAAGCATCGGAACAGGAAGGGAAGAAAGGCATATAGAATAGAGAAAGACAAAAGCCGGGAGGTAAAGGTTCACCTGATAACTAAGTTAAGGAAAGCTGGCTAGAAACAAGCCAAGCTAAGGCCAGGCATTTAGAAGAAAGAATAAGTTACAGTGGATTATTTGGGAGCTGAGTGGCAGCCTTCACCCCCGAAAGAGTTAAAAAAAAAAAAAAAAAAAAACTATATACACCATAGGAGAAAAGAATATTTCAAATCATACATCTGACAAGGGCTTAAAATCCAAAATATACAAGAAACTAAAGAACTAGACAGAAAAATAAAACAAGCAAACCAAAAAAAAAAAAAAAAAAAAAAAAAAAAAAAAAACCTGTAATTAAAAAATGGGGGTAGTAGACTTATTTCTCAAGAAGATACACAAATGATCAATGAGAAAAAAAAAATAGTCAATATAGCAATCAGGAATATTCCAGTCAAAACAATAATGAGGAGGCCAGCAAGATGGCTCAGACGGCAAAGGTATTTTGTGTCAAGGCCTGAGTTTGAGTACCAGGGACATCAGGTACATCACACAGGACAGACAGAAAGAACCAACTCCCAAAAGATGTCTATTTACACACACCTATTTACCTATTTACACACACACACACACACACACACACACACGTTTAACAAAAGCAGCAAAATACCACAGTGAGGGTTCACCTCACTCTAGTAAGGAAAACTGTTACCAAGAAGATTACAGACAGTTAGTGGTAGTAGTAAAGATTCGGGGAAGGAAAGGCTACCTTGTTGACGGAGGACAGCTTTGTACACTGCTGATGGAGGATAGCCTTGATGAAATAGAAATTAGTGCAGCCTTCGAGGAAAACAGCACAAAGATTACATGGGAAATGAAAAGCAGAACTGACAGAAGAAGCCATTCCATTCCAAACGCACAGCCGCAGGAGAGGAGGGCAGTCGGCTAACTTGGCACCTGATAGCACCTCACTGTTCACAACAGCCAAGGGATGGAAACAGGACCACCAACTGATGAACGGACCAAGAAAACGGGCTCCAAGGTTGAGCTCTGAGGCTTGAAAGAGCAGGAGGCGAGACAGGATGGGGAAGCTTGATCCGGGGCAGAGGTGCTGGTGCAGCTGCATGGTGTGGGGACAGCTGCAAACAACAGGGTACGCTTCAAGGGATAGAAGGACCCGGAAAGTGTTCACTGTGGAAGTCTAATGCGATTCAAACAATACATATCTGTTTAAGTGTAACATGGCATCATATTTATGTTTCTATGTTATAGTTAATAATTAAATAGAATTAAAATAACAAATTTCAGCTTTAAAAAGCAGAGCAAAATGGCGATGATGGTCCAAGAGTATAAAAACTTTAGACAAAAATATTTTGCTGTGTTGTGTTGTGTTTTGAGCGCTGTTGTGCAAGGCGGTGAACACAGTTACCGGGGTATTACACACTTCAAAATGTCTGAGAGAGTAAGACTTTAAAGTGACCTCACCAAAAAAGATATTTCAGACTGTATGTTGACCGACTTGACTTAATTTTTATCTCATGGTCATAAATCACATCTGTACTCTACAAATATATGTTGCTAGTTTACAGTAATTTTTTAAACCAAGCTCAGATCTTTGCCAAGTGACTCCATTTTAAAGCTATTTTTCTATCAAACATATTCATATTAGTATAGGAAAAGGGCAAAAAAAAATCCTACATAAAATAAACAAGCTAAACAATGAGGTAAAGAAACAAAGTAGCCCCCCTTGAGAATTCAAACTTGTCTGATGGCAGGAAGATGGGGACAATGACAAGCAGAGGAGGGATCCCTGACAGCTTTGTGTTTCATGGAACACAAAGTGTTTCATGGAACACATGTGTTTCATGGAAAAAAATTAAATAAAGTTAAAAAAAAAAAAAAAACTTAAGGGCTAAAGTAGGTGCTCTTAGATAAGATCCAGACTCGGGAGAAGGCACTGTTCCCAGGCAACGTAAAACTCTTAAAGGACTAAGTCCCTGAAAACCGAAATTGCCACCAGAGCCAGACAAAACGCTACAAAGTTTGTGTCTGAACTAAATACAGAGCACAGCCTGAATGAAACCTGAAAGTGTTCGACGTCAAGTCAGGGAAAGGGCAGAGAAAATGACATAAAGGCGTGCCTAAAAAACGGGGAAACACTCTTAAAAACAAATATGCAGTTCAAACCATTTTCTTCTTGAAATTAAGGTCTACACTCACAAGAGCATTTTAAATTATGTCCTACATAAAGAAGCCTGGCATCCCTCTTCCAAATATGCCAAGTAGCTAGAAAAGATGCTCTTATACGATTAAGTTAGCATTTCAATTTTATGTTAAGAGAATATATCTGTACCTCCATTTTGGCATTTGTCCACCGAGGTATTTCCACAACCATATTAAACAAATTCTGCAGTTAAAAAAAAAAAAAAAAGATGGAACATTAACCTTTTTATTCACCTTTTATTTTTTTCACTTGGCACTGGGGGACTGTCTGCTAAATGAAAATCAGTAGACTCTAATAAAAGAATAACGCAAGTTTTCACCCCAAACATAAGATAGTTAGTGCCTGCCTTCTATATCCATCCCCTTCTTACAGTTAAGAGAGGCCACCTAACACTCAGAGGCGTCACGAATCTGACCATCGCGGCGTAGCATCAAAGGGCACTGAACATCTGGAAGCTCTTTCCAGAGCTGTGGCAACGCTGGGGACAAGGAGACCTGTTCTCTTTCATTTATTTGTTCTGAGGCAGTCTTACCAGGGAGCTCTGGCTAGCCTAGAACTTGCTATCCAGGCTAACCTTAAACAGAGGTGTACCTGCCTCTGCCATCTGAGTACTAGGATTAAAGGCGTGCACCATCATCACACCTGGCACAAAATGAGTTTTGTCATTTATTTTCCAGCTAAAACAGTAAGTCAGACCAGTTCCGCTCTACTCACGGCAATGTGGTTAAAATAATGATATGCAATTTAAAGGAACACATACAGAAAAATTAAGTAGTCAAAAAATGTTGAAAATGATTAAAAGAACATTTGTTCTTGCTATCATCATAATGTAAAATCAAAGGTATCATTATAGGCAGTTAGAAAGTTTACAAGGAGTTAGAAATGCCTTTCTAAAACAAGGCTAGTGATTTCAGATTCCTTAACATTACAAAAGGGCCATGGCTTCTTTTTCTCCCTTCTACATTTTGTAAACTGCTTAACTCGAAGGAGACACTAGGTCAGTGTGGGTACATACAATGCCTACAGCTTGCCTCACAAAGAAAAAGTCTTAACATTTAAAGGTGGCTTACAAAATTAGGTAAGGCTATTATGCTTATGTCAATGAATCATGGTCAAGGGGAAGGAATGGTTTAAAACAGCATAGCCCAGGCCCATGACCAGTCTGCAACAGTTACCTGATCATTTAGAAACATTTGCAGCTAACTGACAGTAGTTTGTGTATCTACTGAATCTCACGCTAAAAAAAAATGGAAGCTTTGTAGGTGTGTCCATGTAGAAGACACTCCCACAGCACGGCATCACGCACATAACTATATGGCAGATGGTTACACAATGTATTCATCTTTGAAAACCTGGCTGTAAAAGGACAGACGCAGATGGATGAATTCAAGGTGAGGGCAGAGGGGACTGTGCTAGTTAACCCACCAAAGCCACTTGCACAGAGCCGCAGGGCCAAAAGAGCACCAGCTTTGAAACTTGAGCCTGCAAGCCACACTCTCAGTCACCATTTACACTTGACGGCCAGAGACTCATGCCACCATGCCCTTCTCTCCAGCTGCAGTGTGCTCTGAATGTAATTTATCAAAGCCAGGATCGCTCTTGTTTCCCTAAGATTAGCATTAGTAATAGGCCAACAATTCACTAGCAGCATTTATCAGACAATTAAAGATACCTATTTCAAATCAGAACTATGACAGGGCAGCCTAATCCCTCCTTTAGTCCTTTTCTTTTTATTTTCCCCCTAGGGGGAAAATAAGATAATAGATAAATACCAATCAGTGCCCAACATATAATCTGTGTTACAAGAATTAATTTTTTGTTTGTTTTTTGAGACAGGGTTTCTCTGTAGTTTTGGAGGCTGTCCCTGGAACTCGCTCAGTAGACCAGGCTGGCCTTAAACACACATAGATCTGCCTGCCTCTGCCTCCCAAGTGCTGGGACTAAAGGCGCACTGCCTGGCTAAAGAATTAAATTTTAAGCTGGCACTCAGAACTTGCAATATATTTTTCCCCACTGAAAAGATAACTTCAGACTAAAATGCCATCTGTAATGCCAGCTGAACAGGATCTGGCTCTCTCTTCTGACCTCCATGAATACTTACCTGCACTCATGTGCACACACAGACACACACACACAGACACACAACACACACACACACACACACACACACAGGGAATAAAATTTTAAAGGATTCAAACAATCGAAAGAAACAACAAAAGGTACCTTAAATTCATCATCATTTCGTGCTTTCTTTCTGGGAATGCCATTTTCCTGTAAGAGCAAAGATGGTAATTGTGATTAGAATGTCTCATAAAAAAAAAAAAAAAATGCAGGATGCACAGCAACAAAAATGTGCCTACTGCACACGAGCTTTATCAGGTGCTGTCTAGAAATCAGTCTCAGCAGACAACCTGCTAGTACTGTCTGTCCCCGAGCATCCCCACCCTCAAATGGACAAATAATCAAAGAGCTTTAAAAGTATCAGGAAGTCCAAAGCTCTTCCCCCTAACTAACTCCCCAAGTCTGCCTGATGCAGGCAGAGGCTCTGCCGAGTGTGCAGGGAGAGACAGGGAGAGACCCGCAGGTTCCAGTGACCGCATCTCAAACAGTCATTTCATTATCGAAATGAAACTCCCGGGAGCTTGACTAACAAGCTGTGAAAGTGCTTGGCTCTACCTCCTGCCTGTGAATCCTATCAAGGTGTGATTACTCTGTCTCCGCTAAGCATTTTTAAATTAAGCCAGGCTACGTGGTGGGGTGGGAAGAAAGATTATGCCATTCACAAATGCTCGCCGGTCTATGTAACACTTACACACCAAAATGACTACGAAGGAGAAAACAAAATAAACAGAAAATGATGATTCCAAGTCACACTGTCCTGAAACATTATTCTTGTTCTGAAAACTTTACATCCCAAGATACAAGGTGCAAAAAGTCCAATCATGACTGGCTCCAAAGTAGGGAAGCCCATCTATACCCATGCCGTGCACCTCTACACGCATATACACATACACCTCTGCACCTCTACAACTCACTAGCCTTGTGTCTTATAAGTTGTCCTGTGTGTCCTGCCTTATCCTCAAATTCCATAGGCAGAATGTTACACCCACAGATGTGTGTCTGTCTTTGTTCCACACCCACCCCTACCTACTTCCTAATTAAAAACAATAAAACCAAAACCAAAAAACAAACGCAGCTTTGGCACCGTTGCTGTTACGCAGTGTACACATCTGTTATGGTGAACCCCAGATAGGACACTACATAGTCAGTCATCCGTCTTCCTCCATCCTCCTTTACAGTATTAAACACCATCTGACTGGCCTCTCCTATGGCTTGCCTGTGTCCTCCCACTGAGTGTGAGCTACATCTGACTTGCTCACCATTGCACACAGAGTGCCACGGGTACTAAGTGTGCAACGACTATTGGCCAAGTGGATAAACAAATGCATGCACACCTCTGGCCAAAAGTAAGGTGTTGGGCAGACAAGAGGTATTTAGTTCACAACACCCTGTCCGTCAGAACACTGAAGAGACAGGCTAAGCACTACGTCTAAACTGAAGCCCATCTCATAACAGCTACAAGTGGGACCAAGGGCAAGGCGTGGAACCTCATCAAGAAGTAAGCTAGTAACTAACGGTAGCTGCCATCAGGGTTACAATAACACAAGGCGAGCACCGCGCACTTGTACCCAGCCTTCAGGCGCCCTCGGGGCTCCCTTCTGCAGTGGCTGACAACCCTACCTCACCAGCATCCTTCCGACTGTCAAGTGGTTTCCAAGAGAAGACCTAATGAAACTCTGGGCTCTTCCAGCTTTATGTTTCTGCTTCATAGGGTGGTAATGGGCAGGAGCTCTGTGGTCAGAACGGCCAGCTCCAAACCTGGCTCTGGCGCTGGCCAGATGTGCGCTGCTCTGCAAACCAATGAAACCCCTGCTGCCTCATGGCCCTTGGGCAGCTTATGGCAACTTAGCATGGGTTAACACACAGAAGTCAGCCGCAAATGTTAACTGTATTATGACTCAACATAAGCAGATTAATGTCCCACATTACCGTCCTTGAATCTTCAGTTCCTACCAAAGCTTAAACTTCACAGACCACAAATAACCCTTTTCCTAGCTGCCCACAGATTTTAATTCACAAAGGAGGCTTGCAGCCCTGTTCCAGCTCCTCGGTTTCTTCTCCTGCCTGCCGACCAAGTCTTTACTTTCGAGGCATTTCTAGACAAGAATTGTCAGGTCCGGAGGGAAGTACCACTTTTGTACTATCATGTACAAGAAGTTGTTCAAGCCCGAGACAAGTAAAAAACAATACCTGTTTAGAATCCACCTTCAGAGGGATATCGTGGAAAGGGGAAATGTAGTGGCCAGCTACATTCTCTGTAAAGGAAAAGGCAAGGCAATTAGGAGCATGCACACCCTGCTCGCAGCGGCAGCCAGGCCCTGATGTCCCTCAGAACCGGGAGGCTTTTAGCAATGCTAATTACATTTTAGTTCGGCTTTCAAACCTTGCTCCAGCCTGAAGATAGAAATATATGCCAGCTACCCATACTTGGTTGCTAAAATCATGTCATTCAATATTGTGCTTGGCTTCAAACACCCGGGCAGACAGCAGCTAAGGTAGAGTAACGCTCTCATTACTCAGTGGATTAGACTAAACTGATGTTCATTTCCTTAGGAGGAATCTAACAGTATAACCCACAGTTTCCACCTATAACCCACAGGAAGAAAGGTCCACCTGGAGCTGGCAAGATGCTGGGGCAAAAAGCCAAAATAAGCGATTAATAAAATTATCACAAAACAGCTGGCTAAACAACAAATAATAAGTTCTGAGTCCAGTTCAATAAAAGCGGAGGCGGACAACTTAATAATGCCACTATTTTATTAAACTTTTACTCCTCCCCCTACTCAGGGTCATGAGCATGTAGCCAGGTTAAATTCTGAGGGAAAGTGTCCTTGTTGGTGCTTGGTTTTGTCTGTTTTGCTACATTTCTATTGAATTCCCTTCATGGAAAAAGGTAGCTAGCATCTAGCTGGCATTCGGTAGTTATCAGATAAACAATTTATTACTATTCCATTTCTCCCCCTTTCCACGCCATTAATGTCCTTTCCCAACCCTTTCCCAACAAGGTAACTCCTGCAGGACATATGACAAGGCACGGGGAAAGCAGAGGAAGAGCATGATGGGAAGGAGAACATGCATCGGGGTTTGTTTGAGGCTGTGTTGTTTTTACTTTTATGACACTGGGTGTTTTGCTTGCAGGATATGTGTATACCACATGCATGCCTGGTGCCTGTGGAGCTCAGTGAAGGGCATCAGATTCGCTGGAACTGAGTGCTGAGAAATTAACCAGGGTCCTCTGCAAGAGCAACAAGTGCTTTTAACCAATGAGCCAGCTCTACCACCCCCATTAATGCTTACTAGGTTTCCTGACATTAATTCACTTGGTAATTCTTTGCAGAACATGTGTGCTTTTCTAAACACTGTTCTATGTGCCAGGCATATGTATTCTAACTTCCTGCTCCTGTGCACATTATAGTCTAGTGGGACACAGGAGTGATGCTTACGTATAAACCACAGCACGAATGGTTAGCCACAAAACCAGGACAAAAAGAGGGAATGCTGGTGACTCTGGGCCGTCAGGAGGTATCTCTCACACAGGCAGCATGGCGGCGGCAGCCTGCAGGAATGGAAGAAGAGGGTCCAGCAACTATGGAGGAACGGGCTGAGGAGAGTATCACAGACGAGGTGATGGGCCAGCTAGGCAGGAATGCAACAACCAGAGGCAAGAGGATGATTGGCAGCAAAAGGGAGGGCACTGTCTCACATCTGCTCATAAGGAACCTTGCATCCTAACTCAGTTTTCAAACTTCTTCTGAGTGGGACAGAAAGCACGCTGGGCTTGAACAGAGCTACTTAAACAGGATCATGTGCCTTCAGTAAAGAATCAGGAGGCTTCTGCCACTGATCTCCTGAAGGTGATGATGACAGGGATGCTGTGGCAAGGATGGGGGTGGACAGGAAATAGTGTACTCTGGGCACTTTTCAAAAGCTGACCTGGATATGTCCCAAAAGGATATGAAGCCAATGACTCAACATGGGACAAAGGTAAGAGAAGGGACAAGTAGGTTGCAGGGGAAGGGGCGTGGAAAGGTCAGCTGAAGGCACATCACAGCAGTTACACCAGGCTCCAGGAGGCTAGTGACCACAGCTATAAAACGGACCACAAACTTTCCAATAGCTAGACAAGAGGCTTCCAACGTACTTGCTATACAAAAATAATAAATATCTGAGGCAATGAATATGCCAATTTCATTAGCTTGATCAAAACTGATAAACATGTTGGGCAGACATAGGTGACCAAGATTTTCTGTTTCATGCGTGGGAACTGTAGTGTGGTTTGTAGTAAAGGAACAATACAAGGTGCAAAGCTGGCCATGTGAATCCTGTCTCCAGACTGGTGACTGATGGTGTAAGCCTAGGACTTATGGACAGGCAACACTAAGACACACAGTAGGTCCGCCCAGAGCCATAGTCAGCTGACTCTGGTCACTGATGGCAGCGCTGAGCAGTTATGACAGAGGTGGACAGTTCATGTGGCCTAAAATATTTCCCATCTGGTCCTTTACAGACAACTTTGCCAACTCCAGGGGAGAGAGACGGTGTAGAGGCAGGGGCTATGAATTGGGAAGCATTTCACAGGTTAGAGGTCAGAAATAAGAGAAGGGTCATAGAAAGGGTGATATGAAGAGAAAGTCGTCAAAATAACTGTTATCAACTTTGAGCCACATATCACACCCTCTCTCTCGCCTACCTATCTCAGTGTGTGCACAAGGCCTGAAGCCCTGCTCGGCTCCCTCCCAACTCCACCCGCTCTGACACACACACACACACACACACACACACACACACACACACACACTAGCCACTTCCATCACAGCCACACTTCTTTAAGACAATGATAAAATACTGTGAACTCTTGAGCTCCAGCGGCTCCTTCTTTGTTGATTGTGGACTGTCGCTCTGACTTTAATATGGTATTTACTAGAAAGTTGACGAGATAAATGTCTGCAGTCACCACACTGTGTCTTGGTATAAAGGCAGTCTGCAGCCCTAGGCAAAAATTAATGAATTCCAGCAGGCTCATCAACGTGTCCCAGGTACTCCAGCCTCGCAACTTCCTCGTCAACTGTCTAAACTACTTTTCATTCTGTCAGTATGTAACTCTTTAAGGTTTCACTGTCTCATGTTGCTGAAAATGTATTGTTTGTATTTGCAACTGAGAAAACAGAGCAGACTGTGGAACCCTTACCTAATATTTATAACATTATAAATACCATATTATATAATTAAATATTATACCATTATATATTATAAAATATACAACATATCCATATATTGTAATATCATAATATATCAACTGATACATAATTATAAATTAATCATATAAAGTATAATTATATATTATATAGTATGCTATATATTATATACTATAATATATAACCATTATATAATATAGGACATATTATAGCATTATAATATAACATTTATACACCAAATAGCTATATTGACAGCAAACACCAACATACACAGCATTACTGACCCATTTACAGAGATTCTCACTGGAAACTTGATAACAAATAAAATGAAAATGAGCTTTGCAGTACTTTCTAAAATATTAAGAAATTTGAAAGATGACCTTCAGTGAAAAAAATGTGCCCTATTCTTCATCTAAATCACAGAATTTCCATTTTACAGCTCTTCACTCAGAAAACTAAAGTGTTTGAAGGTTCTATAACTAACATCAAGTAAACATAACTTTTAACATATCAACTTACTAATAATATCAACATAATAACAATTATGTTTAAATGTATTGATTCTAACTTACAGGAAGTTACTCGTAGGGAGTTTTACTAAGTTCAAACATGTCACCACCCACTACTCAAATGATGTAATTAAGAAAAACGATGGTAATTTCATCTCCTATTTCCAAAAAGAAGAAAAAAGAAAAAGAGAAGGAAATCACATCAACAAAGACCTGAATGACTCAGCCCTGGAATAAATAAAAATAGCTTGAGTTACATACAACACTGTTCCATAAAGCGAATCTGTCTTCTACCACATACCAACAAGACTCCACATTATGGAAAGTATGGGTTTTCCCCCCTCCTTTAAGAAAAATTTAAAATCTAAAATAAGTCACTTTCAAGTTACCACCACCAAAAAAAAAAAAAAAAAAAAACCACCGGCAACGTCACAGGGAGCAGACAGGCAGTGCTGCACGTGTAATCCTATCTAAAGCGGGCTCACTGTCACTTCGCAGCTAATGCAAGGCTGCAGGGCTATGTCCACTACAAGTCTAAGAACTGAATCCATCACTGTCACCCTCCATGGGATTCAACAGAAAGAATGTATCCCTAATACTATGGTCAATCGTATAATTTGAAGTCAGGTATGGTGATACTGCTCACCACATAATTTTTATTCAGTAGTCCTTCGATTATTCGGGATCTTTGTGTCTCCCCATACGTTTCCAGAACACTAGAATACTGACTGAGATTAATCTGTAGATTGCTTTTGGCAGGGAGGTTATTTTCACAATCTTTTTTTTTTTTTTTTTTTCTTTCCCTGCTAATCCATGAGCATTGGATGTTGTTCCATTGTCTCGTGGCTCAATTTCTTTCTTCAATGTCCTAAAATTTTCATTGCAAAGTCTTTGATTTCCTTGGCTTATTTCCAGGTGTGTGTGTCTATTGAGAATAAAATTGTTTCTATATTTTTCATATGTCTATCAACTGGTAAATAAGAAGGCTACTTATTTTTGTATGTTAACTTTATATCCAACCACTTTGCTAAAATTATTTATTAGCTCTTAAAAATTTATAATTAAAAACAGCATGGTACTGATACAAAAACAGACAAACAGATTAATCAAGATAGAAGTCCATACAACTATACTTACCTGATTTCTGACAAAGATACCAACAATGCACATTGGGCAAATGTAGCATTTTCAACAAATGATGCTAGGAAAACTGGATTTAACTTACTGAAAGACGAACCCAGATCCTTCTCTCTCTCATCATGCACAAAATGGGACAAAGACTCAGCATTAAGACCTAAAACTGCTACAGGGGGGTGAACTCCAACTCACAGGTGAGGACTTTGTGAATAAAATGTTGGTAGCACAAAAGCTAAGACCACTGACCAACAAATGGGATCTCATGAAACTAAGGAGCTTCTGTGCAGCAAAGGGAATGCTCGTGCATGAGTAGGGGCCCACAGAATGAAGAAAACCTTTACCAGCTACACACCCAATGGGGGATTAGTTGTCTAGAATACATGAAGAAAAAAAAAAGAAAAACTGTTCTAAACA